ACATGCAGAGCAAGCTCTGACGATGCCCAAGTCAATGTATAGATAGGTAGTCGTTGTGTGAGGAAAAATGGTTGTTGAGGTTGTTAGCGAAGCTTGATGGGTGCTTCAAACACCGTTTTTTTGGGTTATGTGAGGAGGGAGTGCAACATGGATAACAAACGGTCAATCATCCCTCGCAAATCGTTTGTGTTGTCATAAAAAAAATTTCTATTTGCGTGTCAGTCTCTAATTGGGGACGCAGTGATTGTGTGCGACTGTGTGTACTACCTTTCACCTTTTCATACAATCTGTATTTGTCATTTGTTAGAATTTTGGAAAAAAACTCGGTATTTTGCTGTCGTATCTCATAAACATGTGTATTTGTTTGTTTGTTTGTTTGTATATGCATCTTCTTCGCTTGTTAATGGTGGGTTTTCCCGTTGAAAAAGGATTGACCGTGATCACCATTTTTCGACATTATCCAATCCATCAACACCTTTTGTTTGGTCGTATTGTGAATGAAATGGGTACAATCGCATTTCGTAGACATTTATAAACAGATATGTTGTCACGTATACAAAACTGAAATCATTCTTGCTCTCTTGTGTGTTCTCAGCGTACAAAACTCGAAGACACACCACACATAATATGTGCATCAGAAAAAAAATTGTTCCATTAAAGCACCGAAGACGTTGACATCAGGACTGACAAAGATTGCAAAAGCGGAAAAATGAAAGAACGAGAAGAAAAAAAAGAATGAACGTCCACAAGCAAACAGCGCACAAGTGCTTTGAGAAAGACATATGCACATGGCCAACTAGAGTTTGTGTGCATGAAAGAGGCTTCATGAATACACTAGTGGATAACCTGATAGATCAATAGATAGATCGGTAGATGGATAGATAGGTAGATACTAGATGGATAGTTAGATAGATAGGTAGAAAGAAAGGCAGACGTATAGTTAGATAGATAGGTAGAAAGAAAGGCATACATACATACATACATACATACATACATACATACATACATGCATAGACAGACAGGTAGATAAAATCGATCTACCTACGTGATTGTCTATCTATCTATCTATCTATCTATCTATCTATCTATCTATCTATATTTATCTATCATTCTATCTATCTATCTATCTATCCATCTATTTATCTATCTATCTATCTATCTATCTATCTATCTATTTATGTAACTATCTATCTATCTATCTATCTATCTATCTATCTATCTATTTATTTGCCTACCTATCCATCTATCTTTCTATACATCTCCTTTTTTTTCCATCTATCTATCGTTGTGTGTGTGTGTGTGTGTGTGTGTGTGTGAGTGTGTGACAGAGCGAGAGAGCGAGAGCATGACATCGTCCTTTCCCATTTGTGTCGATGGCGCGACACATGCTCATCTCCAGGGTTTGGCAGGTGGTCGGCTATCCACCAGCACCTGACGTCGATGGCGATTGATTGCGTGATAAGCCTCGTTTTGGCCATCCTACCCTCAACACTGCCATACGTGTTGTCTCGTTGGTTTCTTCAGGCAAGAGATACAGCCTGCTGGAAATGTGGACGTTGGTGACGATGACAATTTTCATAATTTGCTTGATCATCGTCATCGTCCGAGTCAAGTTCATCCAAGTCCACGTCGATTTGCATGTGGATCATCATGTTGTGCAAGATGTCGATAACCATAAAATCCTTCATAATCGTCTTCATGTTAGCGATCTGTTGTTTCAAGACATTCCTCCAACACCCTTTAAAAGTGCGAACGTGCGTTCAATGCAACTTCTCGTTGACATGTGACAATCGTTGAAAGTGACCTTTTGGGGTGTGCGCTCGTCTCTTCACGCAGGTGTCATCAACCAAGGCAGCATGGGTACCCTGCGTCTCCGAGAACGTAGCGGTGAACAGGTGTGTCGTCATGAAGAAAGGACGTGCCGCCATGGCATATCCCACAGTCGTCCTGCACATTCCTATACATGTGTGATTTGAAAACAACAAGTGAGTCGTGCACCGATCGAGGACATCCCACGAAAACATCGCGGATCATGCACTCATGATCGCACACCACTTGCCTATATAACACGCTGTACGTCGTACGGGGCTCTGCTCGTACGGCCGTATGAATGGTCTCGTACAAACTGACAAAAACTCCTCAAAAAAAAAAAA